GTGCTGCAGGCGCGCTTCCCCGGACTCGCGGCCAGCGCCGCGTCGCGGCCCCCTGCGTCCGCGCACACATACATGTCCGCGTGCAAAACGTGCCCGTGCCCATGAGCAGAGCGTGTCCCTGTGTCCAAACGCAAGACACGTGCCGTGTGCAGAACGCGCGTCTGTATTGTCTCTGTGCAAAGCGTGTCCAGCTGCTAAAACTCACTGCCATCTTTTGCATGGATCCCCGTTGGCCAAGCTCCGGGGTTCCTCCACGCTTTCATTTTAAAGAGGAGATTCCTCCTGGAGCTGGCATAGTCCCTGTTTCTTTTTTTCTTTCGAGGGAAATCATGAATTCCAAATTGTTCACATTCATTCAAAAACAAAAACACTCCCAGGTCTCCTGGCAGAAATGAAGACCCTGTTTCTGAGTGACTCCAAGTTGACAATTAAGGGAGGTTGTTTTGTTTTGTTTTGTTTTTGGTAAAGCCCCTAACAAAGTTGAGAAGGTTCGACCTTGCCAAATTTCGTTGCCTCCCCCACGGAAGCTTGCTCACCCCCCCCTGACTTGAACTGGGCCTAAACGTAAAAATTAGTTTGGGCCGGAAAGTCAAATAATCAGGAATTGGCTGATCTGGAAATAGGTAAGGACTAGCAGAGAGCAGAAGGCGTGATCTGCCACCCTGGGGAGGCTTTCCCTAGGAGGTGGTGAATCTTTACCTGCAGTCCGGGCAGTAGGCATTACATTGAGGAGGGACTGAGCCCTACCTGTCGGAATCCAAAGATGCTGGGGATTGAGAACTTCAGGCCTCAGAATGACATTTTGAGCCTGTCAGTAAGCAATGTGTGTGCATATCCTTTTTGCCACTTGTCTACCAAAATTAGGCTCTTGAATTTTTTTGTGAGTGACTTGCATTCTTTACTAAAGGTAGTACATTTTTTAGTTAATGTATTTGCCATAGGATAGTATGTTTTCCTCATGACAATACCGTGTGCTTATATGTTTGTATTTTCTCTGATATTTCTTCCTTGACAAAGTATCATCTAGATCTGAATATAGATCATATATATGTATTTATATATGTATCTACCATATATATAAACCATACATATTTATTTATATGTATTTATGTATATATGTATGTATTTATGTGTATATATGTATGTACGCAAGTATTTGCAAAGCGAATATTCCTTATAATTAGCTTATTATGTTGTAATTTTTTCTCCATTCTGTTGCTTGATTTCTATAGTTAATTGCAGAAAAGCTTTTTAAAGTTTTTATATATTCAGAAATATATACTGAGAGTATTTTCTTTCTTCAATATTCATAATGTATTTTCTCATCAAGATTCAGAATATGTGTATTATTCTGTTTTCTTGTTATTAAGTCTTTAATCCATCTGTAATTTGTTGCAATATATAGGATTTAAGTTAATTTTTTTATCAAGGTATAATTGACCTATAACATTAATTTCAGATATACAACATGATTCAATATTTGTGTATATCGTGAAATGATCACCACTGTTAGTCTAATTAATATCTATCACATAGCTACAATTTTTTTCTTATAACTTTCCTTATGAACTTTTAAGATCGACTTTCAAATATTCATTACCATATTTTTAACTATACTCACCATGCTTTACATTACATCCCCATGACTTATTTGTATTATAACTAGACGTTTGTACCTTTTGACTATCTTCATCTACTTCTCCCACCCATCCACCCCCACTCTGGTTATCATCAATTGGTTCTGTGTATCTATAGCTTTGTCTTTCTCATTGTTGTTTTGCTTTGTTTTGTTTTTTGGCTTTTTATTTAGAGTCCACATATAAGCGAGATCATACAGTATTTGTCTTTCTGTCTTATTTCACTTAGTATAATGTCCATGTTTTCACAAAAATGGCAAGATTTCCTTTTCATGTCTGAGTAGTATTCCTCTGTATGTGTGTAACGCACTTCATTTATCCATTCGTCCATCGATGGGCACTTAGGTTGCTTCCATGTATTGACTATTGTAAATAATGTAAATAATGCTGCAATGAACATGGAGTGCATATAACTTACCAAGTTTAAGTGTTTTCATTTCCTTCAGATAAATACCCTTACGTGGAATTCCTGAATCATATGGTAGTTCTATTTTTGATTTTTTTGAGGAAGCTCCATACTGTCTTCCATAATGGCTGCACCAGTTTACATTCCCGCCAACAGTACACCAGAGTTCATTTTTCTCCAGTGTCTTTATTAACATTGCTTTTCGGTAAGGCTTTAAATCAAGAAGTATGAGTCCCCCTGCTTTGTTCATTTTCAGGATTGTTTACTGGCTATTCCGGAATTTTAGAATCAGTTTGTCAATTTCTACAAGTCATCTGGGAATATGATAGAGACTGTATGTAGATCAATTTGGGGAGTATTGCCATTTTAACAATACCAAGTCTTCTGATCTGTGAAGATAGGATGCTTTCCCATTTATCTAGATTTCAACAATGCTTTGTAGTTTTCAGAGTATAAATTTTGCAGTTGTTACATCACTCCTAAATATTCTGTTCTTTTGGATGCTATCACAAGTGGAATTGTTTTCTTGGTTTTATTTCCAAATCGTTCATGCTAATGTATACAAATACAATTGATTTTTACATTTCTATCTTATACCTGCAACCTTGTTGAACTCATTTATTACATCTAATAGTTTTTTACTGGATTCCTTAGGGTTTTCTATAGATAAGATTATGTCATCTGAAAATAGAGATAGTATTCTTTCTTTCTAATCTAGATGTCTTTTATTACTTTTTCTTTCTTAACTGCCTTGGTTAGAACTCCCAGTAACTTGTTAAATAGAAATAATGAAACTAGACACCTTGTCCTGTTCCCCATCTCAGAGCGGGGGGAGGGGAACCATCCAGTAATCTTCGGTAATCTTAGTTATCTTTTTTTTTTTTTTTTTTTAAGGAAAAAAAACACAGTATTAAGGTCTCTACACTTGAAATGCGGGAACTTTCAAAACTAAACACACCACTTTTAGATTAGTTTTTTAACCTTTTTTTTGTTCTTTACAATGTCTAATGTGGCTAAGTTGTACAAATGATTAATTAGGCTGCACTGATGACAGTTTTCACTTTGTCCTTGGTATATTTTACATCGAAATACTTTATGAAATAAAAAGATTCTACTAGAACCAATTTTAGCGCACTCCACTGAGCAGAGCTATTAAATTGACAGTTCTTAAATTGCTTATTAGATTGAATAAACTCTGTTCTGTCTAGTCGTTTTTTAAGTCTTTCACCTTAAATATGATCTTAGAATGGGTTTTTCATAGATGCCTTTATCAAGTTGAAGCAGATCCCTTTTATTCCTAGTTTGCTGAGTGTGTGTGTGTGTGTGTGTTAATCGGGACAGGGTATTGAATTTTGTCAAATGCTTTTGCTGTGTTTATTGAGAGAACCATGTGACTTCTGTTTTTTGTTCTATTGATATGATTTATTACATTACTTGATTTTTTTGATACTATATCAACCTTATATTTCTGGGATAATTTCTACTGTTCATGGTGTGTAATTCTTTTTATATGTTGCTGGATTCAGTTTGCTAGTATTTTATTGAGAACTTTTGCATTTATAGTCATAAGAGATACAGGTCTGTAGTTTTCCTTTGTTGTGATATTTCTGTCTTTTTTATTTTTTTTATCAGGATAATACTAGCCTTATAAAATAAATTGGGAAATGTTTGCCCCTCTTATTTTTTGAAGAAGTTTGTGAATAATTTATAATAGTTCTTTAAATGTTTGGTAGAATTCAATGGTGAAGACTTTGGGCTTTTCTTTGTGCGTATTTTTTTTTAATTACTAATTCAATCTCTTCACTTCTTCCATTCAGGTTGTTATTCAGCTTGTTATTCAGGTTGTTATTTCTTCTAAAGTCAGTTTTCAGTAGCTTTTTAGTACTTCTAGATATTCATCTATCATCCAATTTATCTAATTTGTTGGTATATAGTTGTATATACTACTCCCTTATAACCCTTTTTCATTTCTGTAAGGTTCATACTAATGTTCCCTTTCACATCTGATTCTAGTTATTTGAGTCTTCTCTTTTTTTCTTTCTTAGTCAATCTCACTAAAGGTTTGTCAATTTTGTCAATATTTTCAAAGAACCAAATTCGACTTTATTGATTTTTCTCTATTGTTATCCTATTCTCCATTTCCTTAATTTCTGTGCTAATGTTTATTATGTCTATCTTACTGCTTGTTTTAGGTTTAGTTCGCTCTTCTTTTATCAGTTTCTTAAAATGCGGGTTAAATTATTGATTTGATTCTTTTTTAATTTCTTGATATAGACATTTACAGGTATAAATTTCCTCTAAGCATTTCTTTAGCTATATTCCATAGGTTTCAGTATTTGGTGTCTTAATTTTCACTCAACACAAAGTATGTTTTTTAACCCCCTTATGATTTATTCTTGGACCCATTGGCTACTTAGGATGTGTTAATTTACACACATGTGCAAGTTTCCTAACTTTTTTCTGCCTATCGATTGCTAACTTCATTCCCTTGTGCTCCAAGAAACACATTAAATCTATTGAGGTTTGTTTTATGTCCTAGTATATAGTCTCTGGAATGTTTTATGTGCACTTGAGAACATACATTCTATTGTAGGGTAGAGTGTTCTGTAGAGCTCTGCTACGTCTGTTATAGTGTTGCTCAAGACTTCTATTTACTTGTGATCTCCTATTTAGTTATTACACTCATTATTGAAAGTGGGTTGGTAAAGTCTCCAACTATTATTGTTTATCTATTTCTCCATTTCTGCAGTTTTTTCTTCAGTGTTTTGGAGTTGTTATTTCTATTAATAATTGTTATATCTTCCTTATGAATTGATCCTTTTATCATTATAAAATTTCTCTTTAGCTCTAGTAACACGTTTTTGTTTTAAAGTTGATTTTGTCTTACATTAGTATAGCTATTTCGACATTATGGATCATTTGTATTATATATCTTTTTTCAACCATTGACTTTCAATATATTTTTATCTTTGAATCTAAAGTGTGTCTCCTGCAGACAGCTTATGGTTGGATTATGTTTTAAATTCATTCTGCTAATCTTATGGGATTCTCTTGTAAGTGATGTCATTTTTCTGTTGCTACTCCTGGTCTTTGACTTTCAGCATTTTACTGTGATGTGTCTGTTTGTGAATCTCTTTGAATTTATCCCACTTGGAGTTTATTGAGCTCCCTGGATGTTTATATCATTGTTTTACAGTAAGTTTGGGGTGTTTTCAGCCATTATTTCTTTGAATATTTTTTCTTCTTTCTTGCCTCTCCTGGTACTTTCATTACACAGGTTGGTGTACCATGCTGTCCCACATTTATACAAGGCTCTGATCATTTCTTTTTTCATTCTTTTCCCCCTCTCTGTTCTTCATTTTACATAATCTCTATTAACTTACTTTCAAGTTTAATTCTCCCTCCTTCAAGTTTAGGGATGTATGTTTAGGCAGCAAACCTATTAAGAAAGGTAAGGAAGAGATTACCATGGAAGTTAGATTATTGCTGAGGTTTAAGGATAGAGAAAGGGGGTGGGCATTGGTTGGGAGGGGGCACAAGAGGGAGTTTCTGGGGTTTTGGCAACGCTCTACTTCTTGGCTAGGGTGGTCGTTTCATAAATACTTTCTTTGTGCTAAATCAGAGAATTGCATGTTCTGGTTTTATACTTCCAAGATATGTTCTATTTTGTTCTCTGCTTCTACAGTCAACCTTCATGAGTTCTTGGACACTTAATCTCACTTCTAGTGCCTTTGCACTGCTGTCATTTGCTTGAAAAACTCTTCCTCCACATCTTCCAAGGACTGGTTTAGTCCGTTTTTATCATTGAGGTTTGACTGGAAATGTCCTTTTTTTTTCAGTGAGAATTGTAGCTCTGCCTGTTCTTCCTCTGGCCTCCAGCCTCCAACTCCATCTTCCAGCATTTCCAGCTTGTTTTCATAGCATTTCATGAAATTCTATTTTTTGTTGTGTTGGTGACGACTTTCTTGTAACTGCTTGTCATCCACCTTGTCTAGCTTGATCACGGCTGTAATCCTAGTGCCTAACTCAGCATCTGGCCACAGTAAAAGGTGATATTGAATGAACATAAATCTTTCTATTCCCATCATGTGGCACGGTAGCTGGCTCATTTTACTTGACATTTCTCATTGGTAGAATTAATACTATCGTGGTCCCTATTTGTTTCTGCATAGATTATAAACTTCAAGCGGTGTTTTTTTTTCCTAAGGAACTAGCACGTAAACAAATGTTACACGGAGTTGACCTTTAATAAAATACAACGAGGACGAGATTTCGTAAATGTCCCTTTTGGGCAAGGCAAAAGAAGCGTCATCGCGGCAGCTTGGGCGGGAGACGCAAAGACTGCCGGCCGTAGAGCAAGGGAGACCCCAAAGCACGCGCGGGCCCGTCTCCGTGGCGTAACCGTGGCGCCTCCGCGCCTTTCCGCGCGCGTCTTCGAACTCCAACAAGGCGCGGGCCCCGCGACAGGCCCGGCTCCGCCCCGCCGGGACGCTGCGCGCG